GATCCAAGAAAATTTAACAGAACAGTTGTACCAACCACTCTCTAACATATGTATTATATAAAGAACAGAATTATAATAAAATTACTGTAGAATTTTAATGATCTGGTTCTATTCTTCATTCTTAAGCCATTTTATTTTAAACGGATAAAGGGGCATATACATTTTTAATATATCATATTCTATAATGGTGTCTTTATACAGTACCTGTAGCAAAGTTACCGCATAAATGTAGGTTCTGGCAAGCATCCCCCTCTTCACAATCTTTCTTCAGGTATGAAGGACAGATCTTAGCCTGAGTGTGTGCTTCAACAAAAACACTGCCATCAGCATAGTCCATGATCCTGAAATGGACATCGTGGAAGTCTGCAATAATTTCCTCTAAACTTCCTAGGCCAGGATCGAACTCACCAACTTTTTTTTCAAGATTTTCAAGACTAAGTTTCCCATCATTTTGACACAGTGAACGCAGAGCTCTCTCTATCACACTGGTTTCATCTGTAAGACGCTTTCTATGTCCAGCTGGTCGACCTCTGTTTCTTGGTCTTCTTCTTTTATTAGTAGCAGATTCCATTAATTTGAAAGAGATAGGGCCTACTGTTCAATTAATGTCAAGAATATGTTGAATGAGTGAAACACATTGGGCGAAAATGCTCATTTATACCTCAAAACGCTAGCCAACCTACGCCCGCTTTGTTTGCCGTCTTTTCATGTGATTAACAAACCAAGATTTTTTATCGTTCTTCCTATTGCCGTACCGGGGAATTCCCAGAACGAGGGAATTTCCATTCCGAAAGGGCGCCACCAACCCTGTAGTAGGTTCGTAGGACAGCATCAAAGATCTTAATAATATTTATTTGACATTTTACACTTTTACAACAGTGGCAGCACACAAGAAAGTGGCGCAGTCAAACTTAAACTAATGAACAAAGAGGAAAACAACAACTTAAAGTTAAAAATATGAAAAAACTTAACTAAAGAAAGTACAATTTAGAGCTTAAATAAATCATAAACACCCCTCACCCGCCCCACACAAATAATTTAAAATATACACATTACGTGCATACAGTACACCCCACCCAAATATGTATGTATATATATATATAACAAGCTGTTCAACAAGAACAATGTTAAAGTCAGCTATAGCTGCTCAAGAAACATGGGCAGTATAATCAGAGCCCACAACAAACAGCTTCTGGTTGCTAAGCAACAACAGCCAGATAAACTCTGCAATTGCAGGAAAAAAGATGAATGTCCACTCTCTGGAAATTGCCTCACCTCATCCCCTACAAAGCCACTGTCCACTCAAATGATGACACAAAATGCTACATCGGGCTCACCGACACACCGTTCAAAACCCGATACACAAACCACAAATACACTCTAACACCCCCAAACACAGAAACAGCACTGTACTCTCCAAATACGTATTGAAATTAAAAGACAGCAACACACCCTACAATACCAAAATGGTCTATTATCGACAGAGCATCTAAATAATTGGTGGAGCGATTTTCCTTATATAAATAATATGATGTTAAAATAATTATTGATAAATAATGACTTTTGAGTAAAATCATTATTTATATATGATGACTATCGGCACTTCAATTATTTATAAATAATGTTTGGCTAGTTCAAATTATATATAAATAATGTTTTGCTAGTTTGAATTATTTATAAATAATGAAAATTGCTCTACCAATTATTTATATATAATTGGTAGAGGAAAAACTAATTATATGTATATAATGAACAAATGTTAAATTATATATTAAATAATGAATTATATGTATATAATTTTGTTTAAATAATGAAAGTACATTTGGCGCCTCATAATTAACTACGGTATCAATTTGCTGATCAATTGTTGTATTGTTATCACAAAAGCAAAGAGGACAGGCAATGCATGGGTCGTGCAGAGGGTGAGATCGCAACCCCCCCCCCCCCCCCCCCCCCCCCATAAATTGTATTAAAAGAAAAATAATTGTATTATGTTGTTGACATGAATTATTGGTAGGATTATTGGTATGAGAGTGTAATTTCCGGGCACTTAGAGGTCCACTACTCTCAAAATTTTCGCACTCAGCCTCAACCGTTTTTGGGCTGAAGGGACTATGTACCCACGGGCTTAGATCATGGAGAAAGGGCATACGTCCTCCACATATTATAAAGGGTTTGGGGTGGTTCCCCCTCACTTTTCGTTCGTAATGCAATTTCATAAGTCAAGAAGATGCTTGAAATTGTTGAAATAAACTATAAATGACCCAGGTTTTAACGAAAGAGCGCTGTAACGCCAGATTACATCTTATTTTATAGCAATATACTGGTATCTCCACCCACAAACATCTGAATTACCTATTATACAAATATACTACTCGAGTGCGCATGCCTTTAAATTTGAAAAGAAAAAGCGTGCAAGATAAGATTGGTTTTCGGCACATGATGTAGGTAAAGTAAATACATCAAAGACAATTATGTTTTATTTTCTATGGTAGATCACAGCGATTAATTAGGTCGATGATAATGAATTTTACGTGTCATATCCGGCAATCTTGAGGTACCATTTTACAATCTCAGCCCACCTATGTTGGGGCTGAGTGCGGATCCACAGTTTTGCAGTAGGTAAATTAAATACATCAAAAACAATGTTTTTAAACTTTATGTTACCGTATATCAAACTTAGCCGAAAATAGCTGATAAAAGATCATGAGAAATTGTTGGCGCTTCATTTTGACTTATATAACGGTGATGTGATTTTACTATTTACAAGTGTCATTTCCGGCCATCTAGAGGTACTGTTTTCTCAATTTTCTCACCTCAGTTTTGGACTCAAGGCTTTTGAAATACGTAAAGTAAATACATCAAAGACAATGTTTTTAAGTTTGATTTTCTATGGTACATCACACATATTGATTAGGTCTCTGTAATTGCCAAAAATCGCTGATAAAAGGTCATGAAAATATTATGTTGGCACTTCATTTTGGACATTATTTCCGGCCATTTACAGGTACTACCGTACTTCCACAAAATTTCCCCACCTTTCAAAACAGATCTACGGCCTTCTACGCAACCCTACCGCCAAATCCTGCAGCCCTATGTA